TTTGTATTCCGTATCTATCCCACATTGGAAAATCATTATTATTATTTATATTATATTATAAGTTATTATAATTTACTATTATGTGGCAGAAACACACATTTTGTATTAATTATCGATTCCATATTGAAGAGTTATTATTATTATTTATATTATATTTTAATATACATTATATTACTTTATTTATTATGTGGAAGACACAGATTTTGTATTACTTATCTTTCCCATATTTTTTTTTGTCGTGTCAAAAAGGAGCGACCTGAGAAACTGCAAGTCACTTCTGGTGTGAGAGAATTGGCCGTCTGCAAGGACATTGCCCAGGGGACGCCTGGATGAATTGATGTTTTTATCATCCTTGTGGGAGGCTTCTCTCATGTCCCCGCATGAGGAGCTGGAGCTGAGAGAGGGAGCTCATCCGCCTCTCTCAGGATTCGAACCTGCGACCTGTCGGTCTTCAGTCCTGCTGGCACAGAGGTTTAACCCACTGCATCACCGGGGGCTCCTTTCCCATGTTGAAAAGTATTATTATAATTAATAATAATCATTATTATTAATAATAACGGCAAACACAATATATTATACTAGCGGTCCCCTGCCACACATTGCTGTGGCCCAGTCTGGTGATATAGAAAATAAATTAATTAGAAAGTACTGGTCTCTAATATATGTGATGTCTTTATGCTTGTGGGTAAACAGTATTTCTTGATGTTTCTTTGCCAGTGTTCACGTAGGGATTGTCTGGTTTGCCTACTCTGGAACATGCAACATATAATTGTCCATCTTTAGGAGTCCCTTTCAAATCTATAATACTTTATCTGTGTGTGAATCATATATATCTATCTATATCTATGGCTGGATGGCTCTCTGTCAGGAGGGCTTTGATTATGTTTTCTTGCCCTGGTGAAGGGAGTTCGACTGGATGGCCTTAAGTATTTTCTGTTGGTCATGAGGGTTCTGCGTGGGAAGTTTGCCCCATTTCTGTCGTTTGTGGGTTTCAGAATGCTCTTTAATTGTAGTGAACTATAAATCCCAGTAACTACAAATCCCAAATGTCAAGGTCTATTTCCCCCAAACTCCATCTGTGTTCATATTTGGCATATGGAATATTCGTGCCAAGTTTGGTCCAGATCCATCATTGTTTGAGTCCACAGTGCTCTCTGGATGTAGTGAACTACAACTCCAAAACTCAAGGTCAATGCCCACCAAACCCTTCCAGTATTTTCTGTTGGTCATGGGAGTCCTGTGTGCCATGTTTGGTTCAATTCCATCGTTGGTGGAGTTCAGAATGCTCTTTGATTGTAGGTGAACTATAAATCCCAGCAACTACAAATCCCAAATGTCAAGGTCTATTTCCCCCAAACTCCATCTGTGTTCATATTTGGGCATATGGAATATTCATGCCAAATTTGGTCCAGATCCATCATTGTTTGAGTCCACAGTGCTCTCTGGATGTAGGTGAACTACAACTCCCAAACTCAAGGTCAATGCCCACCAAACCCTTAGTATTTTCTGTTGGTCATGGGAGTCCTGTGTGCCAAGTTTGGTTCAATTCCATCATTGGTGGAGTACAGAATGCTCTTTGATTATAGGTGAACTATAAATCCCAGCAACTACAATTCCCAAATGACAAAATCAATTTTTTTGAGTGAAGGACATACATTGGGTTGTTAGGTGTCTTGTGTCCAAATTTTTGAGTGATGGTCACTCCTTGTGTAGTGAGACATTTTGTTGCCAAATTTAGTGTGATTTCGTTCATTGGTTCTTCTTGTTTTTAAGGTACTCATTATGCACAGAGCATTTTTATATATATACATATAGATTATATTATATCATACTATTATTTGTTATTATGCGGCACGAACAACAGGTGGGTGGCCATCTGTTGGGGCGTGCTTTGATTGTGCTTTCCCTGCACAATCCGGGTTGGACTAGGTGGCCCATTGCGAATCATAGGATTCTATGATTTCCAACTTCTCCTTCTCTTTTACAAAGACAGACCAAGATATTAAGTCACACTTTAGGTGTGGCCAATCTATATACAGAAGCGAGCAGATCCCACACAAAGCAACTCTGTTGGATGACACTTCTTGGAATCCCAATGGCCTGCACAAGCCACTTTCCCCCATGGTCCAGCCCTATTTCTCCCACAGGTGATTGTGTAAAAAAAAAAAAGCACAAACATTTCCAGCCTCGGAAAGGTCAGGACACGCTTTGGGGCTGCCTGGTTGACAACTCAGAAAGGGCTGAAACTTGGCCAAGGTCTGCAGTTCTTTAATCGAGAATAAATCCATCTTTGGCCGTCCCGGCTGGAATGCAAACACTAGTTTTCTGGCTGCGGCCAAGTCAGGTGAGAAAGGGGATCAGTCAAGCAGAGCAAGCTGGGAGAGAAAGAGAGAAGAGAGCAGAACACGGCTCCAGATCCAGAGAAACCCAGGCCGGGCAACACTTGTTGCCAATGAACCACCCTCGCTCTCAGCCAATGTCTCGGCTGCTCCAGGCAGGGAGCCATTCAATGCATCACAAAGCACACGGATCCTTAACCCCTTCCGCACACACAACGCGCAGGCCTCATACACACATATGTAAATACTTATTGTATTATATGGAGGCTAATACAAACACCACGACTGAAGATCACTGTTGGGTTACTATTTCTAATAACATCATAGATAGGTATATAATTTCAATGATATGGCTATTACAGAAACACTGTGTGTGTATGTGTGTATATATGTGTGTATATGTGTGTGTGTGTGTACATGAAGACATGGATGTGTGTGTGTGTGTATATATATATGTGTGTGTGTGTACGTGAGAAGATGTGTATATACACACACACACATACAGAATCTGCATAGAAGATAGTCTCATCTATATAAATAAAAATGTAATGTTCGTTTGTAGTATTCACAGAACTCAAAAACCACTGGACGAATTGACACCAAATTTGGACACAAGACACCTAACAACCCAATGTATGTCCTCCACTCAAAAACATTGATTTTATCATTTGGGAATTGTCGTTGCTGGGATTTATAGTTCACCTACAATCAAAGAGCATTCTGAACTCCACCAATGACTGAATTGGGCCAAACTTAGCACACAGGGCTCCCATGACCAACAGAAAAAACTGGAAGGGTTTGGTGGGCAATGTCCTTTGGTTTTGGAGTTGTAGTTCACCTACAACCAGAGATCACTGTGGACTCAAAACATACCAAGTTTGTATGAAAATGTGACTATTTTCTGTGCTGGTCAATGACCGAAATAAATGATTTGATTGATTGACAGAGGCTGGATGGCCATCTTGAGTTTTGGAATTGTAGTTCACCTTCATCCAGAGAGCACTGTGGACTCAAACAATGATGGATCTGGACCAAACTTGGCACGAATATTCCATATGCCCAAATATGAACACAGATGGAGTTTAGGGGAAATAGACCTTGACATTTGGGAGTTGTAGTTGCTGGGATTTATAGTTCACCTACAATCAAAGAGCATTCTGAACTCCACCAATGATGGAATTGAACCAAACATGGCATACAGGACTTCCATGACCAACAGAACACACTGGAAGGGTTTGGTGGGCATTGACCTTGAGTTTGGGAGTTGTAGTTCACCTACATCCAGAGAGCACTGTGGACTCAAACAATGATGGATCTGGACCAAACTTGGCATGAATATTCCATATGCCCAAATATGAACACAGATGGAGTTTAAGGGAAATAGACCTTGACATTTGGGAGTTGTAGTTGCTGGGATTTATAGTTCACCTACAATCAAAGAGCATTCTGAACTCCACCAGTGATGGAATGGAACCAAACATGGCATACAGGACTTCCATGACCAATAGAACACACTGGAAGGATTTGGTGGGCATTGACCATGAGCTTGGGAGTTGTAGTTCACCTACATCCAGAGAGCACTGTGGACTCAAACAATGATGGATCTGGACCAAACTTGGCACGAATATTCCATATGCCCAAATATGAACACAGATGGAGTTTGGGGGAAATAGACCTTGACATTTGGGATTTGTAGTTACTGAAATTTATAGTTCAGCTACAATCAAAGAGCATTCTGAATCCCACCAATGACAAAATTGAGACAAATTTCCCACACAGAACCCCCATGACCAACAGAAAATACTTAAGGCCATCTAGTCCAACTCTCTTCACCAGGGCAAGAAAATGTAATCAAAGCCCTCCTGACAAAGAGCCATCCAGC